GCCCATTGGTTGCGGTTACTGAAAATTTTTTAAAATAAATGCTTATATATACATTCAGAATATTTGAAAATTAACTACCATTACGTGCTCTGATCCAGTACTCCATGAACACGAACTTGCAGTGTCCAGTAATCACTGGTTGACGTTTTTACAGCAAAAAAGCTTTTTTATTCCCGTACTTTTTGCTGTTCCTCACTTTTTACTCTCACTTCAGAGAATAATTTTGCTGTTTGACATTTTTACAAAATTTTACACGAAAAGCATTGGATCAGAGCTATTGTGTGTTTTGAATTATTTTGAGATGTAGAAATTTGCTCAAAAGTGGGTGGTGCCACGCCCTATAATCCGGTACGATTCGCGGTATCAATGCGGGAGCACTCAAACAGCCGCGGTATTGGAAGTGCGGTAAAGGGCAGTACAAAACTATACCGCGCGGTTTAAGCAGATACATATATCGCAAGCAGAGTTGCAATTAAGAGCTAGAGCTCTACAACATTAGATTAGTACGTTAAAAATGCTAGATTAATATTAAAAATAAATAAGAACAACTTAAAATTAAATTTAAAAAAAAATGGCACTAATAAATATAAATTTATAAAGAGGAACCGGGAAGAGGGAGAGGAAGAGGAACCTTGTCGATCTCGCATAGCAACAATAGGAGCATTCCAAAACGTCAAAATACAAGTCTCTTTTATTTCTAAACCGCACCAGAATAAAAAGTCAAACTTCCGCAACGTATTTGAAAACTAGAATCTTACCGTGGTTGCACACATTTGGCATTACAATCTGCTCAAGTTCAGACATGAAAGATACTGGTTTTTGTATTTTGACGTTTTGGAATGCGCCCAATGTTTTTTGCTGTATCACACTAATATTCAAAAGATTTCAGGACAAAAACAGAATTGTCTGCAAATTCATCGAAATTTCGTGAATACTGTAAATTTCAGCTTGAAATACTGGAGCAAAAACAAAAAATTTTCTCGCAAAGAAAGGTGGCTCAGCTGAAGCTGAAGAAATACATTTGTCTACAAAAAGCCTGCAACCACATTGCGAAACAACTTGTACCCAACAGAGAAGATAGTACGTTAATATGTATAGGTTCAACCGAGATCGCTGCGAACTCGCCAATACGCGGATATAGGCGAGTACCTAACCGTCTACTTCTAACAGCTTTAAAACAGCGCAAAGCAGACATCCTAATGGTGAACGAATTCCAGACAACAAAACTTTGTGCCAAGTGTTACAACATAAATCTAACGTTGAAATCGCCCCACAGGTACCAATTTTGCCCAAAATGTGTTGTATGTTGGAATCGAGACGTCAATGCTGGGAAAAACATACTCTACCTGGGAGAATGTATCATCAAGCAAAACGAAAAACACGAAATTTTCGAAAATAAGATTTCACTATTTCTTGTATAACGGCAACTGTGTACATCTGACTGGCAACAGTTTAACTTCAATGTTAACTTCTATAATTTAAATAATAAAGTTTCTTAAAATTCGCTTTACTAATAATCACATTCGGCAATCATGTAAAATTGCCGATAAATCACGAAGAGGTGGTTTTCAACACAAATATGAGTTTCTAACGTTTGACGTGGTCCAGATAACAAGCTACTACTTAGTATGCAACGTGGTCCGTTTGAACATACGTTAAAACTATGTCCAGCTAGACCACCTGGTCCTCAAATTTTCGGAGGGTATTTACATACAAATATGTATGTATATATAAATACATACATCTGAGCGTGCGTGTGTGAGGGATGCACATGTGTGTATGTGCTGATTACTTGCCTCAGAAAGTGCAACAAAGCCACATAACCATGACATTTTGCCACAAGCTAGCTCAAAGTAGCAATTATTGAAAGGAGCTATTCTTCGGTTGATCGCATGCATGAGGTGTTTCTAAGCAAAGTCCATTTTTCCTATTTGTTTCTCGGGCTACATTGGAAGAAGTCACACGAAAGTTAATAGTCTTTTTAGAATCTGCAATCGAAAGAGAAACAAATTAAAAAAAAAAATTGGTTTCATCATCCAGTAAGGAACTTTTTCTCTTTAAATAAATATTATTTCACACTCATACAAAATATGATTTCAAGCAAACAACAACAATACTATATCACAATGACGCGGAAAATGCGACAAAGATGGAGAGACATTCCAATTAAATCAAATAGGGAACTACGTATTCCTCTACGCATCTACATACATATGCACAACTTTCATTTGCAATTCATGTTCATATGTAAACAAATGCACATAACATGCATGAATGTGCTTACAAGTGCAGTTGCCTCTGGAAGTAGAATGATTCAGCTGCTGGTGTTGCTGCTGCTGCCTTTATGGCTTCATGACACAAAATAGAAAGAATCGAAAAACCGTGAAAAGTCCCCACACAAAAACGTGGAACAATAACAAGAACAACAGGAATGACAGGAGCATCATCAGAAGTCACACGAGTGTTAGTCATCACCGCTGAATATAAAGTTTTTCCAACCATTAATGGATGGCGACGACCTCCATCAAATGTCATCTACAATACTACATAAATATGAATGTACATTAGGGTGGTCCAAAAAAAAGTTTAAAATGTTAAGCTCTCACCCCTAGGACTTTTCTAAATGGGAAAATAGGATACCCGTATTTTTTTGTTTGAAAATAATTGTATTTAGAACTGACTCAAAACCCATGAAGTTTTCCGTGTATTTTATATGGGGGGAAAACTCATAGAAATGGTACAGAATTCTTAAAAATCGATAAACTAAAACATATTGGTATTTTTTCCATTTAAAAAAATCCCATGCGGTGAGTGCTTAACATTTTAAACTTTATTCCTGCATATATTTATGGACCACTCTTAATGTACGTTCATATGTATGTATGTATGTGAATGCAGGCATGCAATTATACTAGGACATTCTATGTCTATTGGGATGTCTCAGAACATCAGAGGATTTTTTTTTGCGACATTCGATAAGTATACCTAGTACTAAAATTACCACACAGTGCGATCCCGTCATCGGAGTAGACTGGAGACGAGGCCTCGTCAATGCATTTATAAATTTATGAATTGTAAAGTTTTATGATACAAATTTTAAGTTGTAGGCTTAAAACGTCGTTATAATAAATAGATAAATAAATATGGATGTACACAGTTTCCACGTATACCGTTAAGTATTCTTGAGTTCGGGGACGATGTTGAAGACCTTGATACTCCGGAAGTCAAAGTTCACCTTGTTGTCGCCCCTCGCTTAAATTTCTATGCGACTGGCTCGCCGCGACGGTGTGACCGGTAGCCAAGCTCTCACACAGAATCGTGGTGGAATATCACGGCCTTCAACCACTTTCAGATAAGCTCCTGGGTTGACTTGGACTGTGTTATCGATCGTAGCCTTGTAGAGCTCTAAAAAACTATTATAGCCAGTGGAAACTAGCTTTACGCACCCTGCAACCAGCCACCGTCTGTACATGATGCATATGGATCGCACTTTCTTCATTACTTTCACCTTTCACGCTTATTTTCTTTCGATCGTTTGCTTTTAAAGCAAAATATTCAGGCTACTTGTGCTTTGGTACTTTTTGATGCCATTACTGGCGCTTACCGATCTGCACCGCTGCCCGACTTTTTTCAGAAACGCTTTTCGTTTTCTATCTACATATAACACTGTACGGAAAATCTTAAGTTTCGAAAGAACAAAACAAACAAACGTCGAAACACGTCAACTTGATTTTGAGTCTTAGATTACGAATCGGTATCCCGTTTTTATAGATCAGGTCATTCTCCCAAGATATTTTCATACATTTTAGTAGAGGAATTTTTTCGATTATATGAAAGCCTGTTCACGCTTTCTAACGAGGAAAATCGATGGAGAGATAAATAAAAAAGTTGTGAATGGTCAAATGAAAATGCATAATAATTGTTTTTGTATGAAACATGAGCAGGAAAGAATGTTATTAATACGACGTGTAGGAGAATGTTATTTTTAAATTTTTTCCCCGTTGAAAGTTAGATTTTTTTCATTCACAATGCGAAGTTAAAATGAAAATATACAGATCCGTTATCTACGACCCAAAATTAAGTTTACGTGCATCGGCGTTTTTTGTGCGTAATTTTAGCGCTCCTACAGTGGAAATGGTGCTATGGTTAGCGAAGGGAGAAGGTCGTCCGCCTGGCCAGAGATGTCCTCTGTTACCGAGCTACGCAGACTAGCTCCGCAGGTCGTCTAATATCCGAAGAACTCCGTTTCCGATTAAATAAGTAAATTAAAGCTATCTAAAAACCATTAAACTTTTAACTTAACGGCAAATTGTATTGCCGAATATAGCAGCCGGTAAAAAATGTGAAAAGGCGACCCCTAGGCTCGTGTTTGTTCTATGGTGGTACAGTCTAATGTACATGCTACATACATACACACGCATAAATATTGCCATATTTCATACATTTGTAAGCTTCACTGTTGCTGCCTTGTCTGCCGGTGCACTTCCTTTCCGCTTTCCTATCCACCCCCCGCACATGCCCGGCTGTCTGTCTGCCATCGCCATTTGTCTGACTGCAGACGGAGGACAGCGTCCTTGTTATTATTATTATTGTTGTTTTTGTCGTTGTTCTGCAATTTTCCCGCAACCAGAATTGGTTTTTTCTTGTGTCTTGTTGTTGAGGACTTTTGTATATTTTTTCTTTTATTTTTGTTTCTTTTGTTAAAAATTCCTTGCCCTGCTGTTGCGGCAGAAAGGTTGATTATTTGTTCCATATTGTTGACTGGCTGCAAATACAAGTGCTTGCGCGTTGTTGAGCTTTAAATGAGTTTTAAAACTTCCATGACTCATTAAAGGATATCTAATTTTTTTTTAATACTGCATCCAAGCAGTATTTTTTCCACAAACTTGCAGACATTCTACTACGAATGGTACAAGTTGCCATTCGTTAATCAGAATTTAAAAAAAGAGAGATTTTAAAGTACGCTGTTTAAACTCAGATATATTTTTTTCTCTTTTCAGCTTTGGCCAAAGCAGAATCATCGCGTTTCATCACCACGCCGCAAAGCCAAACCGTCGTCGAAGGCGATGCCGTTGTGTTTACCTGTCGCGCGACTTCACTCGATGGACTCCGCTACACTTGGTTGCACAATAGTAAGTGCAATTAAAAAATAAATTTTTGTTAGCTTAAAATTTATGATTTTGTTTGTTTGTTTGTGCCATCAGATGCTCCGGTAAAAAATTCTACACGTGTGCGGCAATTGGAATCGAATTTACGCATCGAGGCAGTGCAACGCGATACGGATGCTGGGGACTACGTTTGCATAGCGACAAGTATGACTAGCGGAGCCCGTCAAGCATCGCCTCCGGCGCGGCTGAATATAATTTGTAAGTAAAATTGTATAATTTCCAGATTGATACCGCTACTCAGATATGTATAAAGGGTGCGTTCAGAAGCGCATCATAAATCTTATCTTATTTCTAAACTGTAATTGATGAAAATATCCAATATGCGCAAGCATGATTAAATATCGAATTGGAACTTTAACCCTATTCCTACCTTGTAGCCGAGTAGTTGTAGGTTCGATCACTGGATCGAGCAACATCTAATGGCGTTTTCTTTTCTCGGAAAAAATGTCACCTTCTCTTATATGGCAACATTATCAGAGTGCCACATTTTAAAGAGAGAGCACGCAATAGGCATGTGAAGATGCTGAGAAAAGAACACAAAAACTTGATAAATGCAGCATTATTTCGAGAAAAGAAAACGCTATAAAATTAGAAAAAGTTTTTTTTTTCTAACAGCGAATGTATTTCTGCGTTAAAAGTACTAAAACTATTTGCCATTCGGAGGTGGTGTAAAATTCAGGACACACCATCCCCCGTGTGTCGCTTAAACTATTTTAAAAAAGTATCTTTCCCGTCAACCGTCTTGAACTTTAGGCCACTAATTAACTCGTCAGCATCAACTTCTTTTGATATCAAGCCGCCAGCTATGCATCAGTCGAATTTCATATGTATGTATGTATGTATGTATATTAGACTGCATCACCAAAAAAAGTTGCGGTTTTCCCGCCGGGGTTACAAAATGTATTATATTTTAAGACGTGCGCCGAAATATTTCGGAAACATATTAAGATTTAAGCGAGCTGGACCGATTTGAAAATACCTTCAAAAATGGAGTTTTTTTATGAATAAAATTAGTTTCTTAAAGAACTTTTTAAAAAAGTCCCCTCAGATGACAGAACAGATTAGGCTTAAAAAATCTGCATACAAATATTTAAAAATCTTTTCAACGGAATCGTAATAATGAGATTTTTGATGCTGTTTTTTTTTACTTTTTTCAAAGATTGATTTACGAAAAACTTAAATAACTGGGCCAAAACTATTTCGATTTAGACTTATGGAACTTTCCAATGATACCTCACAAGTTTAAATCGGAAGAGTTTAGGCCCAGTTATTCAAGTTTTTCGTATACCAATCTTTGACACAAATTGTTTTTTATTTCTTTTAATATTTTTATGTAAATTTTTTAAGCTTAAATCGTTTTGTCATTTGAGAGGATTTTTTTCAAAAAACATCTTTAAGAAACTATTATTATTCATAAAAAACTCCATTTTTGGAGGTATTTTCAAATCGGTCCAGCTCGCTTAAATCTTAATATTTTTCCGAAATATTTTGGCGGACGTCTTAAGATATAACAGATTTTATAATAATTCCAATGGAAAAACAGTACCGTTTTTTTTTTTTGAATGGGGAGTGATGCAGTCTTAATATATATACATAGATACATATGGGCATCAGTCTACAAGTAAACAAAACTTTTCGTAACACAGCATAAAAAACAACCAGCATAGGCAACTGATAGCATACATACATATGTTGCACAGATTTCCGATTAATGCACATTTGATTTCCGTTTTGTTTACTATTTGGTAGGCGCACCAGCATCAGCGCCAAGTTTCAACCTCCATCAGCTTAATTGACTGCAACAGTTTTCGAGTTTTTGTTTGTGACTTCATTTTCTCCACAGCGCTGGTGGATGGCTGTAGTCGCTACATTAAATTTCATAAGTCAAAGAAATTTGGGTTTGTGCAGGCGATGCGTGCAAAGGAAAGAACTGCACATGTACGTATATGCATACATACATATGTATGTATACATAAACCGCATTCCAGCTGCCCCTCTCTTCCCATTTGCTGCAACAATCACTTGCCACTCGACACTTTATTTGTGTTTTGGTACATTATGCATCGTTTGCTTCGTTCACAATTTGTGGCTTTCATCTTTCAACAAATCATTTGCTTCTCGAGCTATTTCAACGTATGTATGTATGTACTTTTCTTGTAAAGATCTCACCTTAATTTGATCGCTTCCTTTGCTTTGGTGCTGTTCTAATTTTCTTTTGAAGTTTTCTTGAAGTTAAATATGTAAAGTATGGCCACTGTGGGACGCATTTCCCATTATCCAGTTCTTCATGAAAGAAAATGTAGGGTTTATTTATATTCAATACCCTCTATCTAGTTTCTGGTGTTAGAACCCATCTGGGCCTTAACTGTCATCACTGATGTTATTCAACTCAATGGTAAATTCTACTAAAAAGCTACTTTTAGATCAGAAGCTCGTGGGTTAGGCGAACGTACCAAAACCTTCTTTTGTATGAAAAAAGGTTTAACATGCAGATAAATTTTGACAATTTAGAATTTTTGTAAAAAGCAGTTAAAAAGATTTGACATTTTAGAGACCAAATAACTTGAAAAAAAAAAACAAATCAAATCAGCTGCTCTTCTGCTACCATCCGTTCAATATACCTTGGTCTGAAATTTGTTGGATCTGATTAAATTTTCAAAAAAGTTAAAATATGATATTTGGCACTACAACCGTTTGTGGGTTTGATCCGAGATCAAAGAGCTTCTCCAATTGCCTCTCTCCTTTGCAGACAGGTCCTTCTGCACTTTGTCCTTTCATTTCGATCGTGGGCGCCCTTGCTTTCGTTGTCCACCATGGGTGGCGGCATCTTCTCAACGTTGTCCATGCGTACCTGTCGCTTAAAAGCTCGTACATTTCGCCATTCTATCTTTGTATAGAATAGTTCTCTCGAAAGTACTCAAAGTCTTCTCATCTTCTGTTCGATATCGTCGACGTTTCTGTGCCATATAGAAGAACGGGCATGGCCAGAGACTTGTAGAATGTGGTTGTTGTTCGTCAAGAGAGTCCTTTGCTTTTCAACTGCTTACCGAGCCCAAAGTAGTCCCTGTTGGCAAGAATCGCAATGTAGAGACACAGAGATGACGCATTCAGCAGTACACTACTTTGTTCTTGGCGAATTTGACAAAATCAGCTGTTCGTATGTTGTCATAATAGAAATGTCTGCGCTAAGTTTGTTCTCGCACAGATTATTAGTAATAATTATCACTAGTTTTCGATAACAAACCTTTTTACCATAAAAAAATGCAGAAACGACTTTATTCTTTTTAATTTCGCTCTTTTTGAATGTCATATTGAATTTTTTATGCTGGACACAAATTCCTTCATTACTTCAAACTTACAGATACCAACAATGGCGTTTGTCCCGAAACGCGTGAACTCTTTATATGTGGCCGGAGGTACTTTGTCTTGTCCTCATTCACCGCTAGACCACATCTTTAACGAGTTTTTCACATTTGTATAAAACTTGCATTACAGAATTGTATCGAATTGCATACAAAATTTTATTATTTTCAACATACATACATACATACACATGTATGTATCAGGGTTGTTGCGAATATTCGCATTCGCAATAATCAATGCGGAGCTTTTGCGAATGCGAATGTTGTGCAAGTGCACCGATAAAACGCATATCTGGACAAAAAATCACAGATTGTAGCCAATATTTTTGGCATGTGGTCGTGTTACCCGGGCGCCGCACATGGAAGTATTTGTGTAACAAAACTGGTCAAATGTCATATATATCAAATTTGATAAAAGTGTTTCTAAACATATTATTTCTTAAGCTATATAACCGAGCTATCAATGGGCAGTCATACAAGTTCCTACTTCTACTTGACCTTTGACGTACGTCAAAGAAAACATAGTCCTTTTAACTTTTTCTTGTTCCTTTCCTGGAATGTTTTGGGTGGTCCTCTGTCAGTTCATCAGCTTTTTCAATTACCATCAATTTTCCGCTTTACCCGGCAACCATATATATGAGCAGAATTCTACGTAAATATGCATGTTCTCGTTCAAAAAGCTACAGCATTCAGCGGGGGACTTCACTCTGTCTATGTGTGAGTCGAAAGCTTTCCTTCAAGCGTTGAGTTTTTGATATATTATCTTGTCACTTGTTTACATACAGCGGTCGAAAAAATTATAGCCGCACCATATTTTGATAAATTTTAACATAGTATTTTTGTAATTAAATTTTGGTTATTTTTTATAAACATATCGTTCTTCTTTAACAGAACTAAAAAAAATTCAAATTTCAAACTCTGTTAAATATTTAAAAAATTCAACAAACTTTCGTAAAAATTTTAGGTTAATGGAGCGCTGATTGCCTGAAAAGTTTGGTATCTTCGGATATACATATGTACAGACATATCGAGCCCTAACTGCCAAAATAACGTAAGAGACATTTTTCTTTTTGATGCAGAAAGGCATCTAGATGCTCTAGGAATATTTCTGCATCAAAAAGAAAAGAAATGGCGCTTATGTTATTTTGGCGGTTAGGGATCGATATGTATAAACATACATATAGTTCTGCACATAAAATAAGTGTAGTAATTTTTTGTTGAATTTAGTAACTTTTTCCAGTGATTTTGGTAAAAAATAAAAAAAAATTGTGGCAACATTGTTGCTGCCATGCCACTGTTATATATATGTACATACATACATACCTACACATTTATATGCTGCTCGTAAAATTTTATGCATTTTTCCGCCGTTGAAAATGAAAATGAAATGAAAGTTGTTGAGCGCAATTTTCCACAAATGTTTGTTTCTCGTATCAAGTGAAGCCATGTCGGGGGTGCAAATGTTATAGATGACTGTAATGTTGGGGTACGTTATATGTGTGTATACATACAGTATTGGACATATCTATAGCACCCCCTTTAAAAGTGATATTGTTTGCCCCTTATGTGTAATTATTTATTTTTAAGAAATTTTAACTTAAGTACAGTTCATTCTCTAACAAAACACATATAAACCCCAGGTTAAACAAATTTTCACCCAAATTACAAACTTTTTTTCTCAGAAGTGCTAGAATTTTTCTGAGTACACAGTTTTATAGCCCATTCAATTTTAGTCTAATAATGTGCCAGCTTCAAGTGGCTAAAAACTACCGTTGACTTTTTAGAATTTTTTTTTTGTGTAATTTGCTTTCATATAACGAATAAACAAAATTTATTTTTATATGGAAGAAACCCGCAACCGCTTCGGCGAAATAAATTCTAAAAAAGCAACGGTAATTTCTAGCGACTAGAAACTTGCACTTTCTTATACTACAATTGAATGGGATACAAAACTGCATACCCGAAAATTTTCAAAATATGCTAATTAAAAATTCTGAAATTTTGATCACAATTTTTTGAAGCTTAATAAATTTTTTTGCAATTTCTCTGTTCTGTTATAGATTGAATTATATTATAAATCTAGAATTAAAAGTCGTCAAAATTGCGCTTACGACAATCTTTTACCCAGGCGACGATATTCAAATACGCTAGTGGATGGAAAGAACATTTAAGTTTGTATTGTACTAAGTAATATGTACGTTTGTGTATTCGTTATTCAGAGGGTCGTTCGATTGTTTACTCCGTTAGTTGTTGAGTTGGTTGGCTGTTGTTGGCGAGATTACCTTTTTATTTGAATTTTATGTTTTCTTGCAACTCTGCTTCATTTAACGACTTCTGGCAATCTTCTATTTACATACACGCTATTATACATACATACATATGTACATATGTACGTATGGGTAATGTTTAAAAATATGTTTATTCTATTATATTTGTTCTGAAATTTCCAACATTTCCTAATGCTAGCGTTTCACTCGCATATTTAATTTTGTTCCAAAAATTCCATTTGTTTCCTTAAAAATGTCGCTGCCAAGTGGTGAAAGCTTTCTTTGTTATCCTGAGATGGTAATCCATACACATGTATTTTCGAATTGCAAATCTCAAGACGCAGACAAAATACCAACCCCATGTTAAGATTGCAATCAATTGTTTCTACTCAAATTGTGAATACGAGCAACGACGGGCTTCGCAAACATTGTTTTTAGCGACTGTTGCCGATTGTTTAAATGTCCTTATTCATGCTGAACGACGGGCATTCAGTAGATCCTTCGCTTGCCATTCATTGCCAGACAAATATTATTGCTTTTGTTCGCTTTCGTTCGTTGAAGGGGATTGATTTTGTTGTTTTTGCTTTTCTGTTGTTGACGTTTATTGTTTACAACATGCATATGTACATAGGTTGGTGTCTGTTGGCTACTTTATTCAGTTCTGTAGAAGGACAGAGTTGGGGGTGTGTTGTGGTGAGTGTGCTTTATTGCGGTGACAGTGTTATAATTTGAGTTAATATTGAGCAAAAAAGATAATTGTATGTCAACAACATACATGTGTACATATATATGTATATATGTATGTTAACACATACATATGTAAATACATACTTTGGTTTAAGTGTTAAGGTATTTCCCAAAAATCTGCACCCTCATTTGCAAGATTCAAATAAATCATTTTTGAAGTGAAACTTCTTTAAGGCTTAAATCCAAACTCCGATGAAAAGAAAAAGCGACCAAAGAAGAGATGAAGATTAGAATTAAGAATAAAATTAAGATAGTTGTTCATTAAATATATTATGGTGAGCTATAGAAATAAGGGGTTTCAGTTCAAACGCGCGTGGAATCCACACACAACTCTGTTTCACTTACATACATATGTATGCGTGCTGTTTTGGACTCGGCCAAAATCGTTAAAGGCCCGTCCACATAGAACTTTGGCATTGCGTTGGCGTTGGCGTCGCTTCAACAGCTGACTATGAATACATGAATTCAAATGGAGCCGTCCACATAGTCAAAATTTGGCAACACTCACGCCAACACAAAGCAAAAAGATGTCCAACTCTCATCTTTTCGCGTGCGTCGCTCGTCAGCTGTTGCAAATAAATAGGTGCAATCCCGTATTCCTCTGACTCGGACTAGTAAAACTGTCGAAAAATAAAAATTCGCTCAGAGCGAGAGAGTAACATTGAAAAGTACGGGATCGCTTTCTAGTAAAAAATAGTAACTTCTGTCAACTTCAACATAACCTCCAAATTTTGGTTGTAAATTTTTGCTTATTTTGTATGTAAACACACTCAGCTCACACATGTAAATAACCAAAAATACTTTAAAATTCATTAGAATCCACTTAAACAAGTAATTAAATACTTTGCAACATGAATTAGTAGAGTGCACTTTTACTTTGTTTACAATTTGGTTGCCAAACACACTACAGCTGATCGTTTGACACATTTACCAGAATTTACCAGCAAAACATTCTCGGACTAAAACTGGTAACTTTTGACAGAGAGAGAACCGTATTTACTCTCTTTTTTGTCCTCTCAATAGTCAGAGAACCGAGTACGGGATCGATTTCCAGTAAAATCTGACTGATTCTGACTATTTCTGACTAGTCCGGACTCGTACGGGATCGCAACTAATAAAATTATGTGAAATATTTTTCCTTTTTAATCAAGTGCGGGCAAGTAATATCGTTTTTTATGTAATTATTGATATGAAATATTAATTTATCTGTCGTTAGTATGTTAATTTAGTGGCCCAAGCATTCGCTGCCAAGCGTTCATTTTACCAAGCATACTTTTAACGTGCGTTCTGTCAAACCAACGCCAACGCCAAAGCCAACGCGAAAGTTCTATGTGGACCGGCCTTTGGGCGGTTGCAGCGTCAATAAAGAACAAGCTTTTCACACTCATACGTTTCCCACTGTATGCTGTATATAAATAATTTTCCGACTTTTCGCACCTCAATTTACCTATTGGTAACAGAAATATGCCGCACACTGTATTTGCCATAAACAGATTTAAGACAACACCAAAAATAAAATATTGTTGCTAATTAAGTTCGAATCTTTCAGCTGTGTAATAAACTTTAACGCATTTGTTTATTTAGCATCGGTTGCTTACACCGAAGGGTGAGAAGAAGAAGGGTCTGACTCGTAATTAATCTTTAACGATTTTTAATTGATGGTTCCAGGCAGCTCTACCTTCTAAAGTCATTTAAGTTGTTTTAATAAAAAGCCGCAGGATATTTCGATGGTCCAATAACGATACAATTCAAAATTCAAAAAATAAAACCTAATTAACATATATTTCTGTTTTATGTACTAGTACTGTTTAAAGCACGATTTTATGAAATATCTGACTATTCATTTCTGCTTGGGCCTGCCCTTCTATTTTACAATATTATACTTTCACTATCCTTAAAGCTACAGTAAGTACCTACCAATCAATCGTAAGCATTGTACTCAAAAGTTCGGTCTTAATTTGCAATGCAGTTTAACTTTTACCAATCTCTCCCACTCCCTTCAGTATTTATTTATCTTCTCTCATCTTTGCAGGGATTCGAACGGCCTCCGTCCAATTGTTGAGTGGCAATCGCAATGAAGTCACTCTCAAGTGCCATGTGGAGGGCTCTTCTGGAGACGGAATGCTCGAAATCGAATGGTTTCGCAACAGCGAAAAATTGAGTACCCTTAAAAACATTGAATTGCAACAAAATCGTCTTATTATACGCCAACCCCATGCTGCTGACAACGGTCTCTATCGTTGCATTGCCTCCAATGCGGCCGGACGAGCGATGAGCAAAAGAGGTTACGTCCTGCAGTGGTCGAACGCCGCTAATGGCTTGCCTGAGCGGGCCATTGTTGGAGGAAGTGATGGTGGTAGGAGTAGCAGTGCTGCCTTCACCACTTCCAGTTGCTTACCGCGTCTTAAGAAAAATCAAAAATTACCCATTGAAGCACTGAATCAAGTCTTCCTTTGCCGCGGCAAGCGCGGTGGTCAAACAGGCGAAGACAAATTGCCGGCCGTTATAGATGTTACCATCACTAAGGGTCCAGCCAGCAAACGCGTCAAAGAAAATGAGCCTCTCGAATTGCTCTGTGCACACTCGGTGCCAGAAAAATATCACCAAGTGCAGCTACGTTGGCGCAAAGATGGTAAAGTTTTCCGAACAGTGGAAATCGGTGATACTGCCGCCGCCTCAACTTCGACGCCTACCGAGTCAGGCAAAGAGCTGACGATGCGCGAAGATTCCCGCCTAGTGCTCAGCCGCTCCAATGGCTCACTTCTGTTCACGAATGTGTTTGCCAGCGATGCCGGACAATATGTTTGCCAAATCTACGTGGAAGGTCATCGACCGATTACTTCGGAGCCTGCTGAGTTACAAGTCATCGAACAGTTGAAGTTCATGCCGCAACCGACGTCAAAGAACTTAGAACTAGGCAGTGTGGGGAAGGTGCATTGTAAGGCGCAGGGAACACCACCGCCACAAGTCAAATGGATACGGGTGAGTCGATAGTGTTGTACGTACTGTAAGAAAATAAGTACAAGTCTGTTGCAGCCGGCAGCGCCATTAGAATGAGAATATGCAAAGAAGACAAAGCTGCAAAAAGATTGTCTGAAATATTAAATGTTCAAACAAAGTGGCAGCGACACAAAAGCGCAGCAGTTATTTCACTTACCATTGTCCACTTCAGCTAAAACTTGGTGAATTGTTTACTTCGTAAACAAAGAAATGACTGAAGGAGGACGATGGACTTGAAGCTGCAACTGCAACTGTAGTCAAAATAACCAATTCTTTGGAGTTCATAAATTTCCCTTCACTTTACAGAAACGTGAAGAAAATAACAATATGCAATTTGAAACAAAAAGAAATATATAGATATTAATAACTAACGAAGTGCTTAGAATATTGCCGCAATAACACAAAGTGAGTGTAAAACATATGGTTGAGAGTATACTCTGAGTATCAGTCTAATGAATTAATATGCATTTTTGCACTGGTATTTTTTGTTTAGTCGCCAAATCCTCGGCCATGTGCGGTTTTATTACTCTCCAGTCTCTACATATGTACATATCCATATTGTTAGGCTAGACTTTGAATTAAAAAAAAAAGCTCTTCGTGTGTACATATGTATCTATGTGTGTATATTTATCTCTAACCCATTACATTTTTTCTATATGTCGTTTGCATGTAGTCTGTGCTGTAAGTGGGAAGTAGCAAAGGCAATGATGGCACTGGCAACATTTTCAGGTTGACTGCTGCACAAAGCTACTGAATGGCTGTGAAAAGTGAATAGCATGAACAGTAATAACGACAGCAATTCAGAGATAGATAGGGCATCCTAAACCCTGCACCGAGCATGTGTTTATGTATGCACACACTGTTTAATCCCATTCCAAAACAGGTGGCAATACACTTACAGTGAAAAGCCAAACCAGTTAGTAAATATACTTGTAGATCACTTGGTAGAAAAAATCTTTCAGTTATACGTTTAACGACATCAAAATGAGAAGCCAGTTAATTGGTCTTCCCGCGAATGCCGGCTGAGGCATCGATTGAGACTATCTACCGTTTCTGATTCTTGAATCGCAGCGTCGAGTCTTAGAGGTATTGAAGATAGATTTTCAAAATTGATGGATTATCAATTATTTTGAAATTTTTATTTTTAAAATTTTAACTAAAACAATAACGATTTTAAATTCAGCTGCAAAACTAAGAATCACATGAAATTTAAAAAAATGCCGATCTATTTCTACTACACCTCAAACTGTAATGCCGCTACTAACAGGGCTCTTACAAGATATGTATTTGCATATGGGTGTTTCCATACAGCCGTACGCGACATTCGTACGCTTATAGAGTAACGTAAATCTATCAAAAATAGAAGTTACAGAAAAAAAAGATTACGGTTATGTTGCAACCAAAGGGTACTATGTTTGAGAAAAAAATAAGCAGCCTCGAAACTTTGGTGTGGAAAATATCCGTTCAAAACCAGGTGATAACGTACGCGACAAAAAAAGAAGTGGTTTTAAGGCACATATACATATATGCGAAAGTCTGCGAATCATGAGAGTTTTTCTTTTCTTTAAAAATTCCTAAACTAAGCTAAATAATGTACCTTTACAATCCTTTCATATTTTAGGAGAAATTATCTCTGGCTAGGTTTATATTTAAAAAAAACAATAACGTACGCGACATAACGTACGCGACAATTTTTCTCGTAAGTAATAAAATGTATTTATTGAGAACTCTTCTCGCCACCGTTTCATTGTTTTACAACTATTCTAAATAATTTAAATGGAAAATTTGCAATTAACATTGGTTTTGATGTATTTGATTGAAATTTTCGTGCTTACAATAACGTATGCGACAAACTTTAAAGGGTAATAAAATATATTTTCACTTCGGTTAGAAAGAAAATTTTACTGTATATCTTTAACTAGAAGAATTCTCGCTTAAGAATTGTAATCTGCATTACCTGCGACTGCCAATATACAAATGACATAGGCAAACAATGTTTTTGCATAACGTACGCGACATTAGAATACTATCAGAAGCAAATCAAAAAATTACCGTTAACCGAGCTCTAACTTCTCCTTTTTCTCATTTTTATAGTTAGTTGTTATTGCAAATTTGATTTTAAGATGTAATTGTAATGTTTCAAATCTCTTAATTTAGTTAATAGGAAAGAGAAAATAGTTCATTTCATTAGAGAAAACTGAGTCGAAGAGACATTCAGTTTTACTCTTCCATTTTTGAGTTTTAAAATTCCAATAAGCTGAAATACTTCTATAATATAAAAATTCGAGTATTTTTCTCTTATTAATTCGTCTTAAAACCCCTTTTCAGTTGTTTTTATTTTTTCAGTCCTGGTTGACATTTGCATGGAAACACCCATATGTGAATGCTACTTTTATCATATATTAGAACGTGTTAGAAAAGTAGCATTTACATATGGAATTACATATCGTGTAAGAGGGCTTTAAGTACTATTTCTACTGGTTGATATTGACTGACACTTCGTAGGACATTGCCAAATTGAACAAGTAAGAGCAGCGCTGTCTTCGGCTATGCCGAAGGCTTCATACCTTTCATGAACATCTGCAAATTTTACTTTGACAGATTACTGCTTTTGAATACATCTGCATACATCGATAGAGGAGTTACATACTTATATAAAAAATCGCATCTAAACAATCAGAGGTATGGAAGATATACTTTATATGACACCAATCTAAGTGATTTTCACCGCTATGTGATCGGTATGTAAACCGGTAACACAATTTATTGGGTTTAGTTTCCTACATAAAGGAGATATATCGCAAAAACTGGTATCTGAACAATCAGTGCTATAGGAGATAAAGCTTATACAGCATAGATTTTGACGATTTTCTCAGTAGACTTTGTATTATTATTTATAAAATATCTTACGAAATTTATCGGTTTTAGCTGTTCAAATAAAGAAGTTTTACAGTAAAATCCCATATCTGAACAATCTGATGTTTGGAAGATATATGTTGTAGTCATCCGATCCTTGTTATTTTCACTGTAAGTATTCTGTTAATAATGAGTGAAAATGGTGCGAAACTTCATGTTCCTAGCTGCATAAATGGAGGAGTTATGATAAAAGACCTCATATCTGAACAATCAGTTGTATGGGGGCTGCAGGTTATAGTGACCCGATCTTTATTATTTTCGAGGTAAGTCTTCTGTTGATAATGAGTGAAAACAGCGCGAAATTTCATGGTCCTAGCTACATAAATGGATGAATTATAACGAAAAATCTCATATCTGAACAATCAGTTGTAAGGGAGCTATAGGTTATAGTTACCCGATCTTTTTAATTTTCACTGTAAGTTTTCTGTAGATAATTATTGAAAACAGTGCGGAATTTCATGTTCCTAGCTATATAAATGGAGGAGTTATAACGCAAAATTTTATATCTGAACAATCCGTTGTATGGGAGCTATAGGTTATAGTGACCCGATCTTTGTAATTTTCACTATAAGTATTCTGTTGATAATGGGTGAAAGTGCTGCGAAATTTCTTGTTCTTAACTACATAAATGGAGAAGTTATAATGAAAAATCTCATATCTGAACAATCAGTTGTATGGGAGCTATATGTTATAGTGGTCCGATTCTTCCGGTTCCGACAAATGATTAATACATTATAAAAATACACCCACCTACCAAATTTCATCCGGATATCTCGAAAACTGAGAGACTAGATTGCATACAAACAGACAGACAGACGGACAGACGGACAGACGGACATGGCTAAATCAACTCAGCTCGACGTTCTGATCATATAAGTATACATTTTCATGGGTCTATCTCTTTTTGTTCTGGTACTTACAAACATCGGACCAAAGTTATAATACCATTTCATGCTCATGAAAGGTATAAAAATACTATTTTGTTAGTATGGATAAAAGATATAAGACGACTTAAATGAGCTAACTAGTATTCTACATAGTTCACAACTTGTAAGTTTTACCTACAGGGATATGCAAATGTATATATGTATTTATGTTTGGTACATATCATCTCTAGTTATTTAAAGGGGAGTTGAAATAGCAAATTCTATCTACATATTATGTACATCAATATATTTGTGTTTTGTTAGAAGGTTACATAATACATAGATATGTATGTATTTATATTCATGCATTCATAGCTTTCTAGATTTAGTTTTTATTGGTGTGCCCAGGAGAATTCAAAAAATTCACACACAAATGCTGCTATTTTCACTTAAGGACACCGAGGGAGCTTATAAACCTGTCTTGCACATTTAGTAGAGTCAAATTAGGGTAGGAAATGGGGCATCTAGCAACTTTTGCATTTGCATTCCGATCAATTCTTTTTGAGGACATAAAAGGGAGGGAATAAAAGTTAACGGTACTAGAATTTTATGAACTACAAAAGTGCATACTCTAAATTTTTCTAAGAATTCGAAATGAAAAATTTTAAATTTCATAAAAAATTTCTTATACTTTCTACGAGTTCAGCATGCAATTAAAAAAATCGATTCTTGTGGGTTTTCCCATTGATTGAACTATATATTTTATTAAAAAAAAATGTATTGTTCTCCGTTTTCTTCAGGATTCCTACGGCCAATTGCCCGAAGCAGTCGATGACATTAACGGTACATTAATATTCAAGAATGTCAGCACCGAGCATCGCGGCAATTACACCTGTGTGGCAAACAATTCACAAGGACACATCAATGCCACTGTAAGTGTGAATGTAGTGGTAGCGCCGCGTTTTTCCGTTGCGCCCGAAGGACCCATCGAAACAGGCGAAATGGGGCTGGCGGTGATGCACTGTCAAGCTATTGGTGATCCCAAACCAACAATAAAATGGGATAAGGATTTAAAGTATTTAAGCGAAAATAATACGGACAAAAATCGTTTTCGTTTCCTGGAGAATGGCACGCTCGAAATACGTGATGTACAACCGGACGATGAAGGTCGTTACGGCTGCACAATAGGCAACAGTGCCGGGCTGAAGCGGGAGGAGGTGCGCTTTGTTGTTAAATGTAAGTACATTTTAGGCCAACACCCACTTTCAGTGCCATTTTTTTTTTGATTTTTGAAGAGCCAAATAAAAACTTGAGAGTTTAATAGAAGCTAAGTTGATAAAAAAAGTTACAGATGTTGATTAGGATTCCCCGTCAATCTTTCATCCATGTGTAGCCTCCGAAGGTGCGACCTCTGAAGAATCAGGTGATGGCTTCCTTATCACACGCGCCGTTCTCATCACTATGTCTGTGGCGTTTGCCTACATTATCCTGGTTGTGGGCTTAATGATTTGGTGTCGCTTCCGTCGTCAAGCGCGCAAGGCACGTCTAAATGAAATGAATAAAGATAACCCCGAGTCAGGTGAACTGGGCAAATTACCCGAAAATGAGCCTTGCCTGCCAGAACACGCTTCTTCAGCAAAGACACGCAAAGTAAATGGTAATAACAATCCTCGCGGCAGCGGCAACGAGGCAGCAAAATCCGATGATACAGCCTGTAGCAATCATTCAAAGGGTTCGAAACGTTCACATGCCCTGGACCAGTTGGCTTTGCCGCGCTCGAGTATCACTGAGTTACTACAGATCGGACGAGGAGAGTTCGGCGATGTTTTTGTGGGTAAAGTAAAGGCGTCGGTTATACGTCAGGTGGACGAAAAAGATATGGAAACGGAGAGACACAATGGTGGCGAAAATAATGGTGCAATTACTTCGATTGAAAAGCGACGCTCGAAAACGTCAATGGATGACATTGAGGAGATCAGAGAGGAGCAAGAGGCCGGTAGCGCCGATGGGGACACAACATCTACGACAACAGATGAATATAAATTAGTATTGGTTAAAGCATTGAATAAATTCAAGGATGAAAATATTTGCCATGAGTTTAAAAGACAAATCGACATGTTTCGTGCCATTTCACACAAAGGTGTGGTGCGTTTGTTTGGGCTATGTCGCGAGAAAGACCCTCATTATATGGTATTGGAGTACACAGATTGGGTAGGCAAAAAAAAAGTAAAAAAGTAAAGGGATTTCCTAATAACTTTTCATATACTCTATTGTTAGGGTGACCTAAAGCAATTCCTCTTGGCCACTGCGGGCAAGGTAAACACCTCGAATAATTCGTCGCAGTCGCCTCCGCCGCTGGTGACAGGGCAAATCTTGGCGGTGGCATACCAGATTGCACGTGGAATGGATGCAATTTACAGAGCGCGATTCATACACAAGTAAGTATTGGAAAAGTTATGTAATTTTCTCATAACACTGGATCACAAATTTTAATTTTGTTTTTGTTCTCCAAACGCCACTATCTACTTTGTATACAGAATCGCTCGCTGTTTCCGAAAATCGAGTTAATTTTTTTTTTTTCTGTATGGATACGTTTTCGAGATACATATTTGCAATTTACCGTTATTCAGTTTAAAAATAAGAGTGGTTCCACTTAATCAGGTATATCTTACGAACCCATTAAATATGTTTGGTTTTTTTCATGGAAAACTGCAAAAAAATCAAACTTTAAATGGGGAAAAAATCAAGAAATAACAGTTTTTGTGTGCCTGTTCCTTTAGAAAAAACTAAGCTACCAAAGAAGAAAATCGATGGATAAATAAATAAGAAAATAATGATTGGTCAAATGAAAATGCGCAAGGATTTTTAGTATGAAATATGAGTAGAAAAGAGTGTTACTCATAAGTCGGTGTAGGTAGATTATGTACATCGAAAACAAGAGGTGTCAGAAATGATTAATTAATTTCTCAGAAACTATCAGCGCTTTCGAAAAGTGAGATATATACGGTTTATGGAGAATTTTATTTGCTTGAATTTCCCGTATATCGCATTATGATTATTCAATTGGTTCGTAAGATATACGTGATTAAGTGAAATCACTACATGTGTTTTAAAGCTGAATAACGGTAAATTGCAAATATCTCAAAAAGTTGTTCATAGAAAAAAAAGTTATCTCGATTTTCGTAATCATCGAGCAATTCTACATAGGAATTGGATAGTGGCATCCATAGAATATTTTTGCTGTAAACCAGTTAATACAACTTCATATTCTAACGAAGCTTTTAAGCTTTTTAAAGTCCTTCAACAGACTTCAGTTACTACCATAATTTATCTAAAATCTTATTTCAAGGGACTTAGCCACCCGCAATTGCGTAATCTCTAGTGATTTTATCGTAAAGGTCTCATATCCCGCTTTGTCCAAGGACAAATACAGTCGAGAGTATTACAAACATCGCAACACTCTACTGCCCGTGCGTTGGTTGGCGCCTGAATGTATCCAAGAGGATGATTACACCACAAAGAGTGATATCTTCGCATTTGCCGTTATTGTGTGGGAGCTATTCAGTCAAGCCACAAAATTACCCTTTGAAGAGCTGAGCAACGAAGAGGTTATACAACGAAGCCAAAATGGAAAATTGGAGTGGGCATGTGCGAATGGTACACCAGACAGTTTGAAGGAGATTTTGGTGAGTAATTTTTTTAAGTTTCTTTTTGCAAGGGAAGGCATTGATGGTAATTACATATGTTAAAATCTAATGAAAATGAATAAAATAAAATAAAATTTAGTTAGTTAAATTTTAATCAAATAAACTAAGTTAACACTAAAAACTAGGGCTGTGCGATTAATTGATTATTCAAAATTTTAATTAATCATAAAGTAAATAACTCAATTATTCGATTAATCGGAAATTATGATTACTCAAAAGTTCAGTTACTCGAGTAATCAAGATTTTGATTAACCAAAAACAAAAATATTTGAGTAATTTGCTTTATGATTAATCAACATTATGAATAAAATGAGTAATCAACATTTCAAAGTACTCTTTACATACATACATATAAAGCAGTTGAAGTTCCTTGATACTTTGAAAAATCGTATCTGTTTTCAAAAATTAAAATGAAATACATACATACATACATATTTTTTTCATATACAGAATATAAAAAAGAAAATAAGCATTTTCCAAAGCAACCTCTTTTAACGAGCAAAATTAATTTTTTTTGAGTAATCATATTTCAAGTAACTCGATTAAACATCGTTTTGAGTAATCAAAATCTTGATTACTCGAGTAATTGATTAACCGATTAACTGATTAACCAACTTGCTCGAGTAATCGAATAATCGCACAGCCCTACTAAAAACATAATCATATTCTAACATGCCTAAAAGATAGTCATGCGTAAAATTGACGCATGAGTTTAAACGAGCAATATTGTCTTATTTTAATGGTTAATTTCGAATCAACTAATATGAACTATATATTTCCATATTTATAAACAACAGTTGGCCTGCTGGAACTCAAACCCGAAAGAACGACCCTCATTCAGTCAACTCTGCTCTGCACTCAGTAAAGCAATGCAAAATGGTGATAAGTAAATATATATACATATATTTATGTATGTACGTTTTTCTACTTACTTTTTCTACTACTCCAATTATAAATATGTATGTACATACTAACAAAAGATTGGCATAAATTTGTAAGTCTTAACTGAGGGGTAATATAAATTGTGTTAAACACATCTTGAAAAGCAACTTAAAGCCTAAATTTTCGTAGAAATATTACGCGATAAATCTGCCAAAAAATTGCCATTTTTGTAAAAGAATTTAAAAACTATGATGCATACACATGTGTATGTATGTATGAACGTGTTGTATGTACATATTTTTGGCAACAGTAAATCTGTTCTATATTCTAATATATGCATATGTATGTACGGTTTGACAAACGCCTCTTTTAACATTATTAAAATAAAAGTGCATATTTTAAAATAAATGTTCACAAATAAATACGTACATATGTGTACCACTTGAAAACTAGGATTAATTGCAATCAGTGTTGCCACAAAGATTTTTAATTTTTTACCAAATTTTTTTTTACCACATAACTCAAAACCAAAAGATGAAACCAGCAAATGTATCGTTAAACGATAGATAAAATTTACTTTTACAATTTCATAAATGGGTCACATTCGTATTTAATCGCAAAATTGTAATTAGTCCTGTGAAGTTATTTTCTTTGACCATTGGTTCCCACAGGTAAAAATTATCCAAAACCCTGATTTGTGGGACTGTAGGGACTATGATCGAGCCGCCATATTGGGAAAAATGGGTTGTTTCCTTAAATTGCTATATTGCGAACTCATACTAAAAGTTCTGAGTTGTCAAGGCAAATTGTTACATTGAGGAGCCCTTTCAATTGTTGGCTTTCTTAAGGTGTAGACACATACATATGCAAGTACATAAGCAATTTTTTTTGTTATGTGCAATTGTAAACGTTCAATGTTATACATTTTTATAAGTAATAAGCTAGTATTAAAAACTTAAAAGAAAAGACTAACCTTGAAAAAAAAAAATAACAAAATTAAAAAAAAAATACCAAATTACCAAGCTCGTTCTAAAAAAGAAAAAAATTATCAGTTTTGATAAACCAAAGCGGCAACGCTGATTGCAATCTTCGATTTCCAAAAAGTTTTCAGGCAGTAGGGCACACGCACTTTTGTTTGTTGCGTTAGATAAATCTTCTTTTGAATGTATTAAATATGTATGTATATGAATTGTCTGTACATGCATATGTATGCACATATGTACATGTGTCGACAGATGGACATGGTAGTTCAAAAATTGTCAACGAATCATTTATTTAGTTATTAAATATATGCATACATACATAGTTTACTCAGAATTAAGGGGCTTTATATACTTAGTTACTAACTGTACATATATATAATATATCTGCGCATACATATTAGACGATTATTAAATTTTTAAACAATACTACGAAGGCAGACTTAACCAGCAAAGCGGAACTGACACTAAAATTCTTCGCAACAAAATTACTAGTCAAGTATTAAAGGTGTTGTTGTACATACCTAATAATATGCATCCCACTCTCCAGCAGAAATTTAGACATTACAAAAGGCCACTTGGAGAAAGCAGCAAAGAAGGTGAATGTAATAAAACAATCTGTGCCGTAGTGAAAAAAGCTTTACGATCGTCGTGCAAAAATGACGCCGTATGCGATCAAATACAAAAGGATGTGGAGGAAATGTCCTGTCTTTTTGTCGAAGTGTCCAGATATATTCACTTTACACTGATGAAACGATGGAAACAACGAAACTTTGAACCCATAAATTTTCTGGAATGTTATTACCATCTGATGGTAAAGAAAAAACCAAAATATGCAATAGACCAGGAATATAATATGCTGCGAAAAAACCTGAAGTTGTACGATAGTTCGTACCGATCGAGTTTATTTGTAGAAAACGCCAATAGATTTCTGCCTCTGTTCCATAACAATATTTGAATGTACGCATAAACTCAGCTCAGGAAATATTTCAAATTTGAGGATGACAAAAAAAATTTATATAATACACTGAGCTACCTTTTCGATGAAAATTCTACAAATATCGCAGAAGAAGCGTTACTTGAACGTACGCGTACCGATTTAAAATGGAACGGAAATAAACTACACGAAATAGAAAATGTCTTCTTATTTTGGTATTCCATCGACTTATTTTATAACCTGCAACAGTATAATGAAATCAAGGAAATAAAAAATGTTTTACTAATGCCCGGTTTACATCACGTCAGATACGATCGTACGCTTTCTACCAACTATTGTGTCGATTCAAATTTTTCAAATGACCATTTTCTTCCTTCGATAAAAGTGAATTTGGAAAATATTTTAGAATACCTTCAACGTGCACTTAAACGTTTTCTTCACTTCAAACCGATGGAGTGAGTGTTCGTATCATTTTGTATGAAAAAAAAAATGAAACTAAAGCGAAAAAAAAAGAACTGAAGGTAAAAGCAACCGATTATGAAGGTGATTTAATAAAAAAACGCGGAACGAAATACAAAAACAAAATTGGCCTAGATCCTGTGTTTCGGCTCATTTTAGCTGCCATCCAGAACAACGTTCCTGTGAATACGCCGATATAGGCGAGTACCTAATCGGTTACTAATCGCAGCTTTAGGACAACGCAAAGCAGATATCCTAATGGTTAACGAATTTGAACAACAAAACTTTGTGCAAAGTGTTTTAGCGTCAACCTGACATCAAAATCGCCACACAGATACCAATTTTGCCCAAGTTGCCGTACCTGTTGGAATCGAGATGGCAATGCTGGGAAAAACATACTATACCTGGGAGAATGTATAATCAACCAACATGAAAAACACGAGAATTTTCGAAAATAAGATGTTATTATTTCTGGCAACAGGTTAACTTTAACTAGTTACCTACAACATTTTTATTTTCAAAATTTCTTCCGTATTATATAGTGATTGGAAACCCTTTAAGTATTTCGGTCAGAGTTAACGTTATTATATTCCGTTCGGAGCTGGATTTAAATAAAGTGGAACCTCGAAGCATTACATAAATGCGCTCCCGTTCCGCTAAATTCAATAAATAATCGATTCTTTAAATTATTGCTTTCGTATTAAACTTTTATTCTTAAAAAACGGCGTATAAAGGTAAAGGTATTTGCCACTTGTCCACTTTTGTATGTTTGTATATCTGTTGAGAAATTAAATAAGTAAGTTTATAAAAAGTATTAATTTCTTTCGTATTTTTATTGAAAGAAATCTCTTAAATAAGTATGTATGTACAAATGTACTGCCCCGAGGGGCATGTTTGTAGGTGCACACATATGTATGCATGTATGTATATTAGTTTAAGTTCATTGAAAAACATTATTTTATAAAAAAAAATAATAATATATGCATACATACATACTTCAATAAAATGAGAATAAAATTAAATAGAAAACATCAAACTAACTGCTGGTATTTTTCATACAACAACTGATATGTTTTTATTTTATTTCTTTTAGGGCCATTTTCCAAAGAAACTTTAAAAATGCCTTATACAAAAAATTTCAAGTTCCTTGAGAAAACGGTCCTTAATTTCTCTATTTCTAGAAAGAACAGTTTCCGTTGAGAACATTGTTCGAAAACCCGCATTGATGAATTTTTTAGGTTTTCCAATTGAAAATAGTACTTACATATAGTACATAGATAGTTTTGCTACCAATATATTCGGCTTTGTGTAACACTAAAGCTAAAAAAATCGAATAGAAACGATGATTAAAAATTTTCGTTGTTTCAAGACAAAGCTTGTCAAAGCTAAACAACGCAATTATTTGCTCCCTTTTTCCACAAACAGAAATCCAACACAAACGAAGCCGTGCATACTGAATGTAAACATAAAGGATTTGAAATCAAACTGCTACTAATGGAATTGAATGCAACTTTTTACGTGTTCACATTCATGTGTAGATACATTCATATTTGCAAAAAAGGTGTTTTTGGCGACTGAAAAGACCAACAAATGGGTGGTGCGCCAAAGGCGAAATGTCCGTGTTTTAGGCTCTTTAGAGATTTTTCGTTTCATTTCTAGTCGTATTGTGCGATTTTGATATTCAGTTAGTAACATATGTCTATGTACATACATACAAATGTATATATGTAGGTATATATGTATGTACATATGTATATGTGTAGTATATGTGCATGTGTACATTAGTGCGGTTCAAAAGTGTAAAACCGCTTCACTCCAATTTCTTTGAGGAAAAGTCTGCTAAGTGCGCCCATGAATGCATTTGCTAATTTCTGCAAACTAAAGTTTCCGAAGTCTTACAAAATTTTTTAACGATTTTGTTTTGATGGCAAAAAAAGACACGCTGAAGTGTTTTTATGCGTCTCTTTTGGCGGTCAACTTTTGAGCTCGCGCCCTTTATTCCTGTCCAGGGACGATATGTACTTCGAAGAAAAATTTTATTTACGCTATTGATTTTTGCTTACACACTCACAATCGGCGTCAAATTTACATTGCATTTTCGGATCACCCTAAATCATATGCCTTGTATAAAAGCATACATGTGCACATTGTTGTGTATTTAACAGTTTTTTTTTGTTTCGAAAGTTCAAACTGACTACGGCCTCTAATGGAGTGAATGCGCCAGCTGCAAATGCAACTTGAATTTGAATTCGATATTGTATTTGTATTTGTCGCCTGTCTCGGGCTAGGCGTGTTATTTAACCAACACAGGCTTGAGATAACATTGAAATATTAAACTTTTGAAGTTTGATAGAATTTTAAAATTTTTTGGTATTAACTTTAAATTATTGCTTATGTTAAATTTAATTATGATGAGGCTAAAATTTCTTTGATTTTTAAGAAAGGTTAACTGGCTGGAAATACTAGGGATATATGCAATCTTCTTCTTCTTGATTGGCGCTATAATGCTTGTATACGTATTTACACGGACATATGTAGACATATCCAAAAATATAATGCCTTCCATCCAATTATAGTAACTATAAATTTTGACAAAAATTATCCAAGGTAGCTGTAGATAGCTTAAAATGGGAAATGCAAAATGGCAAAGCACTGGAACTGAGCTGAAGAGAACCTACGTAAGTATACACATAAACATTTAAGTTTTAGGTGTTGTCTGCATTTTGTATGGAAAAGGGTAAGCTGTTTGCCACAATTAACACTTTAGGTACTCGTACATGCATATACATGCATACATATGTAGTTACAAAGTAAACATGTTTGTGCAGCTAAAGTGACGGCGATAAGTGTCACTTTGCCTCTAATGTAAGTTTTTTTTATTTGGAAACATGTTGTGAGATGAGGATTTATAGGCCGTGAAAATGATAATCTATTGTCAGACTTGAATTGTTGGGAGTTTTCATCGTGCAAATAAAGAAAAAAACATTTTGTTCTCAAATTTTTAAGCTTTGGCCATCACTAATTTCCACAATTTCGAAATATGTAGTACTATCTAAAATTAAATCTATTTTCAAATAAACTGATAGCTCATTTATTGCAATCGCGACTTTTCTTGTGTCAAAATATGTCGAAAATATGACATAGTGTAAACCAGCCTTAAAGCTGAAGCTCCATAGCAGGTTTTTCAGGCCTTGCGGCTTTCGAAGTCGTTCAGGCTTTTTGCCGAAGAAACTATGTGCATAAAATCAATTTAGAGTTTGGCAAATTGCGAAATCTACATATGTATGTATGTAAATATTTATTTTTGTAATTTAACATGCAAACGTCCATTTTAAAATTTAATTTGTTTGAAAATCGATTCGCTAACGGCGCGTTTACATTGGACAATGCTGTCAAGACAATGAAGATATACGTATTAGTTGTCAAAAACGCATGCATGTAAAAGTGTGCATGTACTAGTGAAAAAGTGTGCATATATTGCTATTGTCATGACAGTATTGTCCGGTGTAAACCCTAAGTAAGTAATAAATATGTACATACATATCGCACACCGTCTTCAAAAGAGTCACAACTCAAAATTTGGC